CCGGCTGTGCCGGCCTGGCTCCCGCAGCTCCCCTGCCTGCCCCCTGGGGTCTTTCGAAAATCCCCTGCGAGTTTTTCTGAAGCTGTACGTTTCCTGCAGAAGGTGGTACCTCTTTTTGAATGATTATTCCATCAGGGTAATTATCCCAGGCAATATTTTTTAAAAAGACCTGGAGTCCAACTCTCTCTAATACCTTCCACCGCGATGTTTTCCCGTTCTCATAATCGTGGAGAAAAGAACCTGTCAGTTTGTCATTTGTTTTATTTACAGTGAGTGCCTGGTAACACAAAACAGTAGCGGAGCGCGAAATGAACTTGGTTGCCCATGAAACGCAGAGGAAGCAGGCTGTGCGGACGCTAGGAGGGAAAGGGAACGGAGTTAGTCTGGGGCTTTTTGTACTGAGCCCGGTTGGGTAAAAGTCCAACCCTACAACCAAGAGAAGATTCATCCGTTAATACATTAGGATAGAAAACCGATTAAATTTTTTCCTTTATCGCTGTTACAGGATGGCCTGTTTTTGACTTAAGCCTATAAAGTGCCATCTGGATTGAGAATCCACGGAAGGTCAGAGTCACCCGTTGTAGAAAACACCTTGACTTGTTAGTTTGAATGTGGAGAAGAATGATCTGTGTTCGAGAAATCTGTAGCAGGGAGCAGAAGTGGCTCTATAGAAGTGAGAAGGCGGGGTCCCACAAGCTCCCTAGCTGGGGGGAACCAGGTCTTGGAAATGGATAGCAGGGCACACAGTGGACCTCTGGAAGCAGCCAGCCTGGTGGTGAATCCTGACTCTCACCTGCAGATGTGTGACTGCCAGTGATTGAAGATATTGAAGCTTGGGGTCCTCAGGTTCAAAGTGGGGCTGTAAACAGTATCTTCCCCTAGCGACTGGCATATGGTGAAATAAAATAATCTATAGAAAGTCTTTAACAAATCTCTGGAGAAGAGATCTTTTGTTATAATTGGAATGATGATGCAGACAGTAGTTTTGATGTAGCAAACAACTTGTTCATAGGTATTGATCAACTGAATATTTTCAAAGGGGAAATAGTCTTTAAGGAGTTATACAGATATTACAGAGAAAGACTGACATTGTATGTCATCGGGAATTTTAAATTACTGTACTCACGGTTAACAAATTACTCATTTTAATTTTGTGGCTTTTCAAAGGGAAGATTTCAAGTATCTCTAGGAACAAATTATGTGGGTACTCTGCAGTTTTTTAACCTAGCTTCTTAGTCCATTTTTCATTGTTATGACTGCCTGTGTAACTGTCCTCATCATTTCTTGCCTTTTCACTCTTTGCAAGTAGAGGGAGATTTTAGTGCATCTTCTGTGCCATGTTGAATAGACATCCCATCTGAGTTTAAATTCAGCTGTAAACCTGAGTTTGGTCCACCGTGGATATAAGTTTCTTGAAACATAGAGATAAGCCTTTGTTCCCTAGTCTTATTAGAAGCTAATATCAGAGAGAGAGAGGGAGAGAGAGGAGTTGTTTTTTAAGGGAAATTTTATTTTAGGATTTTTTTCACGGTGGTATTAGGGATTGAACTCAGAGCCTCACACATGCTAGGCAAGCACTTTAATACTGAGCTATACCCCCACCCCTTTTTAAGATAAGTCTCACTAAGTTGCTCGGACTGGCCTTGAACTTTCAATCTCTCCTCAGTCTCCCGAGTTGCTGGGGTTACATGTATGTGCCCTGCTTGGGTTTTTTGAGTGATGGTGAATTTATTTATTTATTTATTTTATTTTTTTTTTTTTGGTTTTTTCTCTGGTACCAGGAACCGAACTCACGACCTTGCACTTGCCAGGCAGGCACTTTGCCGCTGAGCTAAATCCCCAGCCCCTTATTTATTTATGTTTTGGCGCTGGGAATTGAACCTAGGACCTCATGCATGCTGAGTACATGCTGTACTGCTGAGCTATACCCCAATGTCAATGAATTTTTAAAACTGACATATAATTTGGTTTGGGTGCTGGGGATTTAACTTAGGCCTCAGACATAGGCTTATTTTTTATTCCCTTGCCTTCTCCTCTGTAGACACCTCTGTTGCTCACCTGCAGGTTTTGTGGCTGTTGGTGGTTTGTCTTTCCTCACTTATATCTATATTTTTAAAGTGTTGCCATAATGTTTAATTTTTTTAATCTAGTTGTCCTAGAAATTCCCTCATTTAGAAGGAAATTATACTATAGAACAACAAACAGTGGTTGGGGACATAGGTCACTGGCAGAGTTTTTGTCTAGTATGTGCAAGGCACATCACATACACACCGCCACCAAAACCCACAAAAGAGAAAAACCAACAAAGCGCCCTGATTAAAAACCCCACATAGCCAGAGATGGTTTGAGAAAGTACTGTGTCTTTGTGTTACTTTTTAAAATTCTTTTTACTTTTACATGCACATTTTCATACTATTAGTGTTCTATCTGTGTATCCCAAGTTACCTCAGACTTCAGTTGGTTTAAAACAGCACACATTTGTCACTGCGCCATCTCTGGATCATGTGTCTGGCCCCACTTACTGGATCCTGTGCTCCGTGTCTCACAGGCTGCGTTCAGGACACAGGCTAGCTGTGTTCTCATCCAGAGGCAGTCTGGGTAGGAGCTGTCCAGCTCATTCCGGTCATTGGCAGAGTTTCTTTCCTTAAGCTGAGGGAGATGTCTGAGGATCTGGATGGTACTAGCCACTGAGGGGAGGCCACTCTCTAGTCTAAGAGGATACTTGCAGTTTCCTGCTGTGCGGCCCTTGGTATGGGATGTTCAAAGCATAGCAGTTTTCTTCTTCAAGACCAGCAAGAAGTGCCTGTGAAGAGTTTGTTTTTGTTGTTGCAGTGCTGGGGATTGAATCATGCATGCCAGTCAAGCACGCTACCACAGAGCGACTCCCACCAGTTACACCCCATAAATATGAGGTAATCGTAACGGTAACATCTCATTACCTTGCCCTAGAGGCAGGTCACAGGTTGATCACAGCAAGAGGAAGATATTAAATAAGACAGTAATAACGGGGGTAAAGATGTTGGGGCCCATCTGCTCGTCACATTATTTGTGACTTCAATTTTTTTTTTTTTTTTTTCCTCCGGTACCGGGAACCGAACTCACGGCCTTGCGCATGCCAGGAAGGCGCTTTTGCCGCTGAGCTAAATCCCCAGCCCCTCGTCACATCATTTGTGTACGTGATCTGGAAACTGGAGAAACGCACTCCTGTGATGTAGAAGTCACTTTGTCTGAAACACCATTTAGATTTAAAGCTGTTAGATGACAAAATACAGCACTGAAAAAGGATTCTTTTCCATTTAGCTTTATTGAAATAACTTTATTAAAATTTGATAAACTCTTTACATACATTTCTTCCCAAGGCTAAAACAAAGACACTTATGAAGGCCTTAACTATCTAAAATGCTTTTTTACCTTATTTTGTTTCTTTTCTCAGTGTTGATTCAAATCCAGGGCCCTGCACATGCTAGGCAAGTCTTCTGCCACTGAGCTATTCTCAGGTCATCTGAATTTCTTTCTCAAAAGGAAAGTAGAAGTTTCTTGGTACCTTTTTTGCTGCACACATGCATGTGTATAGTGTATGTGTATTTAAGCTTTTTTCACAAAAATAAAAACATATAAGGTTTGTTTGGGAGCAGAGACAACAGGTTAACACATTTAAAAAAAATCTTTCATATATCTTTGTGTACTTAATATTTCCCTAAATAATTCTGTTATTTCTGTTTTCTAGACTAAGTCATCCCAAATATCACCTGCTCCCTTTCTCAGGGATCATTATGTTTTTCAGAGAGTTTTATGTTCACTAGTAAAAACTTGATAGTGACTGGGCACTGTATTGTATATGTTATTTAAAACTTAAGTGAGGTTGGTGTAGTTACCTTTTTATGGTTGAGGAAGCAGGTTGAATGAGCAAGGGGCTTGCACAAGGCTGCAGACTTGTTAGATACTTACTGGAATCCTGTTTCAGATTTTTCTGCGTTTAAAGCTCAAGGCCTGTCTTAGGATACTGGATTTGCTGGGATATAAAGAGATATTTGTGGAATATTAATAATTGTATATATTTGAAGTGTTATCTCTTTAAAATATTGACCTAGAGATTCCTTAACACTTAGTAACTTACTTTAAGTGGTTGACTTAATATAACTTGGAGTGTCTCCCACAGAAAAATTTCCAAAAAGTAGGCCAGAGTGAATGCAAAATACTCTTCCTCTTTGTTGATCTCTTTGGAAGGAGGTCTTTGAAAATTACCATGGTTGAAATTATAAAAAATTAAATTATGAAGAAAGATCTTTTTGTAGATCAGTAAAAAAAGATTTTCATAGAGATATCTACTGGTACATGACCAAGAAAGGGAATTCTTTAATTTTTGTTTTACTAGTGGCATGGACTTGCGAGTGGTGACTTGCTTGTCTGCTTCAGAATAACTCTGTGGTTTACTTTCCTAGGACTTCCTGAATGGCAAAAGACATTGAATTGGGTTGTTGGCTTTTTCTGTTTTATTTCTTTTGAGACTCTTTGAATAAAAACCATCTGAAATTAAAAAAAAAGAAAATTACCATGGGATCTTTGGGGGCACTTTGGACCCTTTGATTGCAGTGTTACATTCAAAATATCTCAGCTATGAGAAAGGTTTTGGGGACCCAAAAATGTCCTTGGATTTTACTTTCTTTCAAACTGATTCTATGCCCTAGAGATAGTATGTGTGTGTGTGTATATATATATATGTATATTTATGTTCAACAAAATCTGTCACTATTACAACACTTCTGAAAAATTTAAATCTAAAAGTTAATCATCACCTTGTTCTTATAAGAAGGAACATGTTTTTTAACATTTTTGTCAGTTTTGCTCTCAGTACTTTTTAAAATAAATAAAACATAGCTTTTAAAGTTATATTTATTGTGCAATAACTTAAAAATTAATGAATAGCCTATAGGTGAAAAGAAATATCACCCATATCCTCAGGATTCAAATATAAAACATGTGGTATTATTTCTTAACAGACTAAAGTCCATCTAACTTGTAAGCCATAGACATCTCGGATAATTTCAGTCATCAATAAGGAAGTATATCATTAAGAAATAGTGGGGTATTTTGAAGAGTTGGAAGACTTACCATGAATATAAACACTTCAAACAGTGCCACTAGTGATACTCAAAGGTAAGCCTTCAGTCTCTTTCTTTAGTTGAAAAATGCTTTTGGTTGCCAAGAACACAGAGAAATTATGTTGCTGGTGGAGATAATTGGAAGAATTCTAATGGGATAGTGTGTCAATTAATCTTACCTGTCAACTTGACTGGATTATGAGACTCCTGGAGAGGTGATTGGATCACAGGGGCATTATGCTTATTTAGTGTATTAATCCATTAACATTCATAGCCGAATGTGCTAATAGAAGGCAGGGCCTAGTTGAAGGAGATGGGTCACTGCTGGTGTGTCTCTGAAGGGTATCTCTCTGCCTGGGGCCCTTCCTCCTGTGCTCTGCTTCCCTACCACCGCGAAATGAGCAGCTTTCCCGTGCCACATCCTGCACTGTATTCCTGCCTTGGAGCCAGCCGACCATGGACTGAAACCTCTGAATCCATGAATTAAATTATATCCCCCCCAAGTTGTGGTTATTAGCTCTTTTTTCTCCCAGTAATGAGAAAGCTGACTGATACAGATGGTAAAGGAAATAAAAATTTCTTGGGACTGGGAGAGTAGAATGTTGATTGTCATAGCTTGTATCTAGATGTCCTCCCAAAGCTTCATGCACTCGTAGGGGGCACTTTTTGGAAGTGGCTGGACCTAGGATGTGTGAATGTGGTTTAAGGATGTGATGTTAGTCCAGACGGGCACTTGTGCCACTGAGCTATATCCCTGGCCCAATATTAGTCCACTGATTGGGTTAGCATAGTTCTGGGTGTGGATAATGGAAAGGCCCAACCTGGATGTGGGTGGCACCACCCAAAAGGCGTGAATCCTGGGTGGGATAAAAGAGCTCACTGCTGTTTGCTGCCTTCTGCACGCGCCCCCCCGCCCCGCCCCATGGACTGCTTCTCCTGTGGTGCTGCTCTGCATGCTGCCCTGAGCCAGCCAACTGCGGACTGAAACCTCTACACACTGTGAGCTGAAGTAAATCCTTCCTCCTTTAACTTTGGGTGTTGGGTATTTTGTCTCAGCAATGCAGGAAGTAACTAAGACCATGCTGTTACATTTTGGATCTGAAGCGTTCCCCAAATCTCATGTGTTTGGAAGGTGCTTGGGTCCCGGGGGTGCTGTGCTCACTGGGAGATTCATCCTCTGCTGAGTTTAGTGACTGAGTGTGCCTTCAGCACGTGAGCCCTGGTCAGAAGAGGTGGTCGCCAGGGGTGTGACCTGGGGGGGCAGCTCTCCTTTCCTGGCTTTTTCCTTCTTTGTCTGCTCTCTGGCCACGCAGACGTAAGCAGTTTGTCTCTGCTGTGGCACTCCCACCATGCCATTTCTACTTGGGAGCCAGCCCAGGGTGGTAACTGTGAGCCAACATAGACCTCTCTTCTTTTTCTTTATGGGTGTTGGGTGTTGTTTCAGGGAGGAGAAAGTGATTAAGACAGATGCCTTATACTTGTAGTACTAAACCCAGAGACTTCATGTGGTTGTTATGCTGTTTTGTTAGCCGGGGCCACAAGATCCATGCTGTGAGCTTTGTCCTGTCAATGCAGATTTATTCTTTCCTATTCCTTAGTCTCAGTATATAGTTTGTTACAGTTTTACTTAATTACATTTGTGTTTGGTTGGTATGTCTGGCTCTGATCCCGCCTCTCTCTTCATTGCTGCAGTTGTATTTCCCGGCTCTGCTTAAACACTCTTGTACTTGTAGCTCCACTTGCTAACTGCCATTCATTCGGAATCTCTTGGTTCACCTTTTAAGAAGATGCATCCAGTTGTTGCGTTTCATCTTTTTTGTACCACTGATTTCTTTCTGCCTTGGGTAATGTTTCATAGTACTTGGTGTCATCCTTTTTTCAGTTTCGCTTGTTGTTGTTTTTTGTTTAGTGAGACAGGGTCTCACTAGGTAGTCTAGCCTTACTTTGAATTACTGTGGTGCCCAGGCTGGCTTCAAATTTGTGATCCTTCTGCCTCCCAAGTGCTGGAATATAGGCATGTGCAACCCTGCCGGGCAATATCTGTCATGTTCTTTTTTTTTTTTTTCTGAGACAGTGTCTTGCCATATAGTTCAGGCTGACCTTGAACTCACTATATAGCCCAGGTTGGCCTTGAACTCACAGCCATCCTCCTGCCTCAGCCTCCCAAGTGCCGGGATTACAAGCATGTGCCACCATGCCTGGCTTTCTGTCATGTTTCTTAGTGGCTAAATTATTCTGTGTAATTCTAAGACAGTGATGGCAGACCTTTTAGAGCTTTCTATGATAACAAACAGCTGGCTGTGGCATGTCTGCTATAAGGTTTGCCACCATCGTTCTAGAATCTGGATAAAGTTATCTAACTCTATTTATTACTGATCTACTTTCTGTATCTGTAGATAGGCCTTTCTGAACAACTCAAACCAACAGAATCATGTAAAGGATAGTCATTTGTATTTTGTTTCTTTCAGTAGACATGTCCTTAAGGTTTATCATATGTAGCATATCAGAACTTTTAAAAAAAGTGCTGAATAGTACTCCCTTGTATAGATACACTGTATTTTGGGTATGCCATCTCAAGTTTTGAGCATTTGAGTTGTTTCTACCTTTTGGCTAATATGATTAATGATACTATTAACATTCACATGTAAGTCTTTATATCGACATATATTTTTTTCCTTTTGCTGGGTAGGTTCTTAGTACAACTCCTGTACCATTTAATAAGTTTATGGTAACAACTTTTGTTTTTTGGTTTTTTTCAAGACGGGGTCTTGCTATGTAGTCCAGGCTGACCTATGTAGCCTAGACTGGTCTTGAGCTTGTGATGATTCTCCTGCCTCTACAGATATGTGTGCTACCATGCCTGGCGCCAATGATATAATTTTTAATAAACTGCCAAATTGTTTTGTAAAGTGACTGCACCATTTTGTGTTCCTACCAAGGAATGGATAGAGACTTTAGTTTTGCCATCTCCTTGTCAACCTTTTTTATTATCATTTTTAATACACGGGATTTAAACTCAGGGCCTTTCCCACCAAGCCACCCTCCCCCCCATGCCTCACTTAAAAAATAATACTATGTTTTAGCCAGGGGTGGTGGCACATGCCTATAATCCCAGCACTCAGGAGGCTGAGGCAGGAGAGTCCCTACAAGTTCAAGGTCAGCCTGTGCCACATAGTGAGTTGAAGGCATTCTGAACTGTATAGTGAGACCCTGTCACAAAAACAAAAACAAAACACAAAAAACATTACATTGTAAAGTTGCTAAGGCTGAGTTTATATTTATTAATATAAATAATAATTTATATTAAAAATTATATCATTATGCTAAGTTGCTCAGGCTGAGCTCAAACTTGTGATCCTCTTGTCTTAGCCTCCCAGAATGCTAGGATTATAGGTGTGCACCACTGTGTCTGACCTGCATGTGCTTTTTTTTGTTTTTTAATTAGTACTTGTTTGTGGGACATAACGATTATACTTATCATGGGGAGTTGGTACATGTACAGAATACATCCTACTTCTTTTTTCCTCTCTGTTTTTTTCATTCCTTACTCTTCCCCTTCCTTCTTGATCCTTCCAACTCTTGGTTTCCTTCCATTTGCAAAAGCTCTGTTTTTATCCTTTTTCTTTCCTCTTTAATGCATTTTCCCCCATCTGTTTTCTCTTCCTTCCGTCCTCCCTTGTCTCCCATCCGTTTGAAAAAAATTTCCCTACTTCTTCTTTATCTTCTATTTTGCCCTGTGTGTGTGTGTGTGTGTGTGTGTGTGTGTGTGTCTGTCTGTCTGTCTATCCATCTATCTATCTATCTATCTATGTATATATGTATGTATCTATCTGTCTGGCCATCCATCTATGTATGTATGTATGTATTTATCTATGTTATGTAAATAAATATGTATTTGAGTTTCTCATATAAGAGAAACCATGCAATATTTAAGCTTGTGTGTCTGATCTATTTTGCTTAATATTGTGCTCTCAAATTGCATCTGTTTACCTATGAATGCCTCAACTTCATCTTTCTTTGTGATAGTGTGGTTCTACATTGTGTATAAATCTCACATTTTTTTCATTCATTCATCTGTGGGTGGGCATATAGGCTATTTCCAAAATTTAAGTATTATAAATTGTGTTGCTATAAACATGGGTATGTGTGCATCACTGTAATATGATGTCTTGAACTCTTTTGGGACGATACCTAGAAAGGGAATAGCTGGGTCAGATGAAAGTTCTATTTTTAGTTTTTTGATTGCCACAGTGGCTGTACTAGTTAACATTCCCATCAGCAATGTAGAAGGGTTTTTTTCCCCCCCTACATCTTTGCTAGCATTTGTTATTATTTGATTTCTTGATGATATCCATTCTTTCTGGAGTAAGATAGTAGCTCAGTGTTGTTTTAATTTGCATTTTTCTAATGCACAGTAATGTTTCACATATTTTTAATGTGTTTACTGGCCATTTGTACTACTTCTTTTGAGAAAGATCTGTTCATTTTTCTTGCCTATTTTTTGATTGGGTCTTTTATTTGAGGGGGGTCTAATGTTTTTGAGTTCTTCATATATTCAGATGTGAGTCCTCTGAGGAGCAGTTGGCAAAATTTTTTCCCATTCTGTAGGTTATCTTCACTATTTCGGTTGTTTCCTTGGCTATATAGACGGTTTTAAGTTGATATTGTTTGATTCTTGGTGTTCTTTCTTGTAGGGTTCTGTTCAGAATGTCCTTGTCTATGCCTATATCTTCAAAATTTTACCTATTTTTTTCCCAGCAGGTTAAACATTTCATCTAGATCCTTGATCCATTTTAACTTTAGTGCATATTGGGACATATGGGTCTAGATTCAATCTTCTGTTGTGGATATCCAATTTTCCCAGCATCGTTTATTAAAGAGGCTATCTTTTTACCAGTGTATTTTTTTTTTTTTTTTTATACTTGGAATTAAACTCAGTACCTTGTGCTTGCCAGGCAGGTGCTGTGTCACGAGCTATATCCCTGGCCTTACCAGTGTATGTTTTTGGCCCCATTATCAAAGATCAAATAGCTGATTGTGCCTGGGATTGCTTCT